CTCTTCTGTGACAACACTGGAGCTATTGCCCTCGCAAAGGAGCCCAGGTTTCACAAGAAGACCAGGCACATCAAGCGTCGTTTCAACTCCATCCGTGAAAATGTTCAAGATGGAGACATAGAGATTTGCAAAGTGCACACGGATCTGAATGTCGCAGATCCGCTGACTAAACCTCTCTCGCGTGCAAAACATGATCAACACCAGAACTCTATGGGTGTTCGATTCATCACAATGTAACTAGATTAGTGACTCTAGTGCAAGTGGGAGACTGTTGGAAATATGCCCTAGAGGCAATAATAAAAGTATTATTATATTTCATTGTTCATGATAATTGTCTTTTATTCATGCTATAACTGTATTATACGGAAATCGTAATACACGTGTGAATACTTAGACCACACAATGTCCCTGGTAAGCCTCTAGTTGACCAGCTCGTTGTGATCAACAGATAGTCATGGTTTCCTGACTATGGACATTGGATGTCGTTGATAACGGGATCACATCATTAGGAGAATGATGTGATGGACAAGACCCAATCCTAAGCATAGCATAAAAGATCGTGTAGTTCGTTTTGCTAGAGCTTTGCAAGTGTCAAGTATCTCTTCCTTCGACCATGAGATCGTGTAACTCCCGGATACCGTAAGAGTGCCTTGGGTGTACCAAACGTCACAACGTAACTGGGTGACTATAAAGGTACATTACAGGTATCTCCGAAAGTAGCTGTTGGGTTGACACGGATCGAGACTGGGATTTGTCACTCCGTATGACGGAGAGGTATCTCTGGGCCCACTCGGTAATGCATCATCATATTGAGCTCAATGTGACCAAGGTGTTGGACACGGGATCATGCATTACGGTACGAGTAAAGTGACTTGCCGGTAACGAGACTGAACAAGGTATTGGGATACCGACGATCGAGTCTCGGGCAAGTAACGTACCGATTGACAAAGGGAATTGCATACAGGGTTTTGATCGAATCCTCGACATAGTGGTTCATCCGATGACAACATCGAGGAGCATGTGGGAGCCATCATGGGTATCCAGATCCCGCTGATGGTTATTGACTAAGAGAGTCTCGGTCATGTCTACATGTCTCCCGAACCCGTAGGGTCTACACACTTAAGGTTCAGTCACGCTAGGGTTGTAGGGATATGTATATGTAGTAACCCGAATGTTGTTCGGAGTCCCGGATGAGATCCCGGACGTCACGAGGAGTTCCGGAATGGTCCGGAGGTAAAGATTTATATATGGGAAGTCCTGTTTCGGGCATCGGGACAAGTTTCGGGGTTATCGGTATTGTACCGGGACCACCGGAGGGGTCCCGGGGGCCCACCGGGTGGGGCCACCCATCCCCGGGGGCCACATGGGCTGTAGGGGGTGCGCCTTGGCCTACATGGGCCAAGGGCACCAGCCCCACAAGGCCCATGCGCCTAGGGTTTCCAAGGGGGAGGAGTCCTACTAGTGGAAGGCACCTCCTAGGTGCCTTGGGGGGGAGGGAAACCTCCCTAGGCCGCCGCACCCCCTAGGAGATTGGATCTCCTAGGGCCGGCCACCCCCCCTTGGCACCCCTATATATAGTGGGGGAGAGGAGGGACTTCATACCTTGTGCCCTGGCCTTTGGTTGCCTCCTTCTCCCTCCCCAACACCTCCTCCAACTCCATAGCGCTTAGCGAAGCTCTGCCGGAGTACTGCAGCTCCACCAACACCACGCCGTCGTGCTGCTGCTGGTGCCATCTCCCTCAACCTCTCCTCCCTTTCTTGCTGGATCAAGAAGGAGGAGACGTGGCTGTTCCGTACGTGTGTTGAACGCGGAGGTGCCGTCCGTTCGGCGCAGGTCATCGGTGATTTGGATCACGTCGAGTACGACTACATCATCACCTTGCAAGCTTCCGCACGCGATCTACAAGTGGTATGTAGATGCAAACTCTCTCCCTAGACTCGTTGCTTAGATGAACTCATAGATGGATCTTGGTGAAACCGTAGGAAAAATTTTAATTTTCTGCAACATTCCCCAACAGAGGGCCGGCCAGGGCAGGCCGCGCGCCCCCTCCCCCCTAGTCCGAATAGGACAAGGAAGCGGGGCGGCGCCCCCCTTTCCTCTTTCTCCCTTCCTCCTTCCTTTTCCAACAAGGCAAGAGGGGGGAGTCCTACTCCCGGTTGGAGTAGGACTCCTCCAGGCGCACCCATAGGGCCGGCCGCACCTCCCCCTCTCCCTCCTTTATATACTGAGGCAAGGGGGCACCCCATGACACACAAGTTGATCCCCGTGATCGTTCCTTAGCCGTGTGCGGTGCCCCCTTCCACCATATTCCACCTCGATCATATCGTAGCGGTGCTTAGGCGAAGCCCTGCATCGGTAGAACATCATCACCGTCATCACGCCGTCATGCTGACGAAACTCTCCCTCAACGTTTTGCTGGATCGAAACTCGAGGGACGTCACCGAGTTGAACATGTGCAGAACTCGGAGGTGCCGTACGTTCGGTACTTGGATCGGTCGGATCGGGAAGACGTACGAGTACTTCCTCTACGTTGTGTCAACACTTCTGTTGCCGGTCTACGAGGGTACGTAGACAACACTCTTCCCTCTCGTTGCTATGCATCACCATGATCTTGCGTGAGCATAGGAATTTTTTTGAAATTACTACGTTCCCCAACAGTGATACCCTCCCGTGAGTCCTTGATCTTGATCGTACACATATGCGTGTATGATTAGTGTACGATTGAATCAAGGGCGTCACACCGTGTACTTACCTCGGTGGGCTCATTGGCAAGCTACAGTTTAACCAGATTCAGCTTTGGTAATTCCGCATGTAGTTCTGAACAAGTTGGCGGTCTTTTTGTTCACCAGCCGCATGTGATGATCAAGCATAGTGGCGGACTACGCCCTTGGTTTGAATTCTTTATCAGCAGAAGTTCGTGTCCCAGCAACAGTTCGAAAATTGAGTTTCCAGTACTTGATGTGTGTGGGGCTATGTCCCATGAGCTTGTGATGTACATAGATCATCAGGTGGACATCACTGACTTGCGGAATGTTGAATTTATCGGCCGGTGCTCCTTAATTGGTCTTCATTCAGATTATCTGCTCTCGTACGGTATGGATCTGTTAGGATTTGACATGGGCATGGACCAGCTTGACACGTCTTGGGATCCTGGAGGCCTTAGATTGTTGTTGCTAAGGAAATTGATTCGACGAGAGGTGTTTCAAAAAGGGAGGTGCGCCATCTTGGTTGCCCGCTGTCTTGTCACCTTCCTAGCTTCTACTTTTCGGTCATCGACAATTATGATGGTGGAGGTGATTAGCAAGAGAGCACATGCCACGGGTGGTATACTACCCTTTACCGGCTCCGATCAACAATGTTCTCAAGGAGGGAGGGGTGTCATCGCTATTGCTGCCTGCTTCACACAAGGCTCCGTCGACCGCAAGTACTCCAACGGCTTCAACAATGACTACTCCCTCGACAGTTCCTTTGGTTGGGTCGCCATCGTCCATGACTACTACTCCCATGTCGTTCAAGGCACCCCGCCTTCTGCTACCATCGCAACTTCAAGCAAGTCAACGACCATCGAGTGCAATGGGACCCGGGCAGTCCTTGGTGGTGCCGACTTGGGGTCAAGCCGGATTTCAAGGAGGGAGGGATGTTAGGAGCCCTCCTAACATGTACACGTACAGGGCCTACCCCTTGGGCCAGCCCATGGACTTGGCCCATCTGAGGCTCATCACTCCAACTACTTAAGCCAGACGCACAGAAGGAGAGGCCATCCAGTGGATCACGGCAACGGCGGCGGCACCTGTTCCTCTCTATCCCTCGATCCCATTCTTCCAATTCATGTACCCGATACTATAATCGCTACTTGAGACTCGAATTCGTGAGCTAGTGTAATGGATCGAGAGATATACTGCTGGGTTCCTAACACATGGTGCAATCAAATGCGTTGATGGTGGCCAAGACATTGGAGGCAAAGAAGGAGTTGGCCGACAAGTAGGCGCAAGAGAAGCAAGAAAAGTGGCATTTACTCAAGGAAGAGGGGTTGCGCAAGGTCGCCATTGAGGAGAGATGAGCCCTTGCCGAGGAGAACAAGGCCTTGGCTAAGCTTCTTCAAGAGGAGAACAAGATCATGATGATGAATGACAATGACATGGACGACCTCACCAAAGAATGGCACGATACTGCGAGGGAGATCTTGGAGAGAAGGAAGCAAGCCGCGACGGGTGGTGGCTTCGATGCCGGTGATGGATAGTGATTATGGTGATGATGGTCATGGATTACACCGGTGATGGTGGTGTAGAGTGATGATGCCGGTCATGGAGATGGCAGTGGTTTTTGCATGAGGTTCTTCTGAGTCATGGATGAAACTATGTTTAATTTTCGCGCAAACTATGTTTGATTGTTTAAATTTGTAGCCATTTATCGGAATTGCTGTCAAATTGTCCATTTTGTTTTTTCGTTTTGGGGGCTCAGGTGGGCTGCGGCGGAACAGACCCCGTAAGGCCGGATGTGTGAATATTCTATTTTACCGTTTGGCTTTGCGGAATCTGTTTCGTCGCAGCCCACGCCAGCCTTTAAAACACGTTTTTCACGGTCCTTATACCCCGCTTTAAAGGTTTGCGATACGAGAGATCTGCTAGAGATGCTCTAAGGTCGGTAAGAAGTCAATTGGATCGGGACTCTCCGTTTTTGCTGTTGCAACGTACGTGCGCGGTGCGCCGAGCATCCGTCCGCCTCCTCCAGAATCTCCAAGCAAAATGGCACACGGCCACAATTCCGTGGTTGCAGCTCGCAGCATCCAGCCCGCCGAGGGGACAGAACACGCGCGCGGTTGAGCCGTTGCGCCGGCCGTGCGAGGACACAGCAGGCTGCCGTGCCGCGGCACGTAAGCCGTCCCAGCCGATGAGCTGTGCACCGTTCTAGATTCAGTTCAGTTCAGACTGTTACTCTGCACCTCCGGTTCAGTTAACAGATGAGATGATCAGGCAGTAAAATAAAATGCTGTGGCTGGATGGTTCTGAAATCTCGCAATCCTTCCGCGTTCCGCGGGGCCCGGAAAGCAGCGGACGCTGCCGCCCATCCATCATCGTCCAATGTTAAAGCCTCGGTACCTCCACACTCCGCTTGTCTCGCAGCTCGCCGCTACCCACCCACCCACGCTCCACTACACCCCTGTGCTTTGAGGACATCAGAAAGGCCAGGCGCCATGGAAGAGGACAAGAAGCAGAGAGGAAGGCAGGGCCACCCCCTCCTGCGGGGAGGAGGCGCGAGGACGGAGCCCTACACGCACGGCTTCTCCGCCACCCAGATGATGTCGCTCACCGCCGTCTGCGGCGCGCTGGTCCCGTCGCTGCCGCCCGACGCCCACCACCTGGCCGCTGACAAGGCCGTCCGGGACTTCTTCCTCGCATCCGCCGCCGACCCGCCCGTTCCGGACGAGGTTAGTAGCACACACACACATATACCTGCGACTAGCTACGATACGACGACCTGTCTTGACGACCTGCGTTTTGCTACCAACCGGCGGCTGACTCTGTGCGTACACGCGCGCTCAGGTGGCGCAGCTGATGTCGGCAATGTGTCTCCGGGAGGCGCTGACGCTGGTGCGGACGGTGCTGTGGCTGCTGGGCACGCGGCTGGGGACGCTCGCGCTGTGCGGCGCCCGGTGCCTGTCGTGGAGCTCCCCGTTCGTGCAGCGGTTCGCGGAGATGCCGGTGGACCGGCGGGAGGACGCGCTGCGCCGGTGGAGCCGGGAGACCATGCTCCCGCCTCTGCGCCTCTTCTTCCTCCTCGTCAAGGTCTTCTGCCTCTACGTCTTCTACTCCTGGGTAAGCACGCGCGCCTACTTTTGTAGCAGTAGTATGTCTTAACCATTTGCCACACCCGGTACGACTTCATGTACAGTTTGCAAATGAAAACATTAGCTAAGCTTCTCGCGTGCATTGCATCGGCAGGCGGCAGCTTATATACGAGTATACGACTATATTTGTGGTGGAAGTATAGCGTACGATCTTGCTGTTGCCTGTTGGCCATGGCGCCTCTGCGCGCGCGCGGCACGGTGCAATAATGGACGCATGCATGCACGCTGTTTAGCAGCCAGTGTACCACGGCTTTCATGATAGTCTGACGAAAGGCCACATGCTCTTTGTGAACATCGGGTGGTTCGTCAGTAATCGTTTTACTCCTTGGGCCGAACGTGTGAATTGTGGGCTTACAGCGCGACGGATCCCAGGCCCTGCGAATCACCGCCGCAGCGCTCCTGATGGTGATGCGTCGATGGACCATGCCGATCATGGTGTGCACCGCTGGCCGTTGGTTATTACTGTATGGACAATCCAAGAGAGTGAGACGTGTCCCCGTTTTTAGAATTTATTAGTGGTTGGAGACCTTAGGGCATGTACAATGGTGCTATCTTAGTAGTGCCATGTAGGATAGATGATGAGGTGGAGGAGAGAGAACTCATAAGAAAAAGCTTGTCTTATCTTATTTAAGAGAAGACAAGAGGTGATATCTTAGCACAATATGTCTCACCATATTTTTAGGAATTGCTAGTTATTGAAGATAAAGCTAAGAGATGACCCATTGTAGACCAAAAAAATTATCATCTCTAGATCACATGCAAGACTTAAGATAAGACTATCTTATCAACCATTGTACATGCCCTTATGGCACAGGCACACTTAATTTCTTGTTGGGTTTTTCCCAATTTTTTCCCAAAATGTCTTGGCTGCGACTTCCAAACAATCTCACTAATTCTTCACCTTCTCCGACGACACCAATTGGGCCCGAATTTAGGTAGCGTGCTAGAAATAGATTATTTTTTTGAGAACGAAAATAGATTTTAAGTTGAAAATGACAGGAACCAGCTCCGGCAATGCAGTGGATTTGTTGAGTTGAAAATGAGGGCATGTACAATGATGCTATCTTAGAAATGCCACATAGAATAAATAATGAGATAAATAATGAGATGGAGGAGAGAGAACTCGTAAGAAAAGGCTTATCTTTTCTTATTTAAGATAAGACAAAAGATGATCTCTTAGCACAATTTGTCTCACCATATTTTAATTTTAAGGAGTTGCTAGTTATTAAAGATAAGGCTAAGATATAACTCATTGTGGACATACTTTTTTGTCATCTTTAAATTACATGCAAGACTTAAGATAAGACTATCTTTTCAACCATTGTACATGCCCTAACAGCAAACAGCTGTGACGATGGTGTTTCATTTCCCGCAGACCGACGAGAACTCGGAGAATCCTCACTGGCGAGCAATCGGCTACAGCCCGGCAACGGACGAGGCTACGGAGCAAGAGGAACAAGCAAACACCAAGCGGCCACTCGACGACGGCGTGGTCGAGACCATCCACCAGACGGACGCGTCCCTCCCGACTAGCCTCGCCGAAAAGGGCCTCGCGGTGACCGAGGACGCGTCGCGTAACGTGTGCAGGATCGAGTGCGATGTCGTCATCGTCGGCTCCGGCTGCGGCGGGGGCGTGGCCGCCGCGGTGCTCGCAGGGGCCGGCCACAAGGTGGTGGTCATCGAGAAGGGGAACTACTTCACGGCCAGGGACTACACGTCCATCGAGGGCCCGTCGATGAGCCAGCTCTACGAGTACGGCGGGTTCGTGAGCACGATCAGCGGCAGCGGGCTCCTCCTGGCCGGCTCCACGGTCGGCGGCGGCTCAGCCGTCAACTGGTCGGCCTGCATCAAGACACCCGACAGCGTGCGCAAGGAGTGGGCGGCCGCGCACGGCCTGCCGCTGTTCGACAAGTCAGAGTACGCCGCCGCGATGGACGCGGTGTTCAAGCGGCTTGGCGTGACGTCGGGCTGCAAGGAGGAGGGGCTCCAGAACAAGGTCCTGCGCAAGGGGTGCGAGAAGCTGGGGTACAAGGTCGAGCCGGTGGCGAGGAACTCGTCGGAGGGCCACTACTGCGGCAGCTGCGGGTACGGCTGCCGCACCGGGGACAAGCGCGGCACGGACACGACGTGGCTGGTCGACGCGGTGGCCCGCGGCGCCGTGATCCTGACGGGTTGCAAGGCGGAGAAGCTGCTGTTCACTGACGCGGCCGGTGCGAGGGGGAAGCGGTGTGTCGGTGTGGTGGCTACCAGCTCCAACCCGGCGATCACGAGGAAGCTGGAGGTGCGCGCCAAGGTGACCGTCGCAGCGGGCGGCTCCCTCCTCACGCCGGTGCTGCTGCGCGGCAGCGGGCTCAAGAACCCGCACATCGGCAAGAACCTCCACCTCCACCCGACCGCCATGGCGTGGGGCTACTTCCCGCCGGGCAAGATGCCGGAGCTGAAGGGCAAGATGTACGAGGGCGGCATCATCACGTCCCTGCACAAGGTGGAGGCTGCCGGCGGCGACGGGCTGCCGCACCGGGCCATCCTGGAGACGCCGCTGATGGGCGTGGCCGCCGCGGGGACGCAGTTCCCCTGGGTGTCCGGGCGCGACATGAAGGAGCGGATGCTCAACTACGGGCGGACGGTGCACATCTTCTCCCTGGTGAGGGACCGCGGGTCGGGGACGGTGCACGGCGAGCGGCGGATCGCGTACCACCTGGACCCGGTGGACAGGGAGAACCAGCGCGAGGGGCTGCGGAGGGCGCTGCGCATCCTGGTGGCGGCCGGCGCGACGGAGGTGGGCACGCACCGGAGCGACGGGCAGAGGCTGAGGTGCAAGGGCGCGACGGAGGAGGAGGTGGAGGAGTTCCTGGACGGCGTGACCGGGGTGCGCGGGCCGCAGTCCAAGAGCGAGAACTGGAGCCTGTGCTGCACGGCGCACCAGATGGGCAGCTGCAGGATGGGCGCGACGGCCGGGGACGGCGCCGTGGACGCGCGCGGCGAGAGCTGGGAGGCGGAGCGGCTGTACGTGTGCGACGGCAGCGTCCTGCCCAGCGCGGTGGGCGTCAACCCCATGATCACCATACAGTCCGTGGCCTACTGCCTCGCCACCGGCATCGCGGAGCAGCTGAAACGCGACCCGTCCTCCGGGAGAAACCACTCCACAGATTAATAATAGTTGCGGCACGTACGCGGAATAAGTTTGGGTCTTGTTTGTGATACAAGAACGTTGCGGATCAGTATGGACATATGGTTGAGATTACGAAGTGCTGCGTGCTCATATTGGTCTGTGCAGTACTGATTTCATGCTTGAAAAGAAGATCTATACATTTTGATTGAAATCAGATGGTGCAAATATTTTACTATGTAAGTTCATAAAAATATTTCAACAACTACAATGTCAAAATACTATCATTTTTCTGCGGTGTAAAAAAAGTATCATTTAATGCAATAAAATATTTATTATGCATATTTAGGCGTTGTGGTTGTTGATTTTTTTTTCTAATCAAACTTTACAGCATTTGATTTCGGACAAAACTTTCAAGCTTTCTTTTTTAGTACAGAGGGAGTGATGGCGAACAATTGGCATTGCACATTCATTCGAGTCATTTTTCTTCTCCGCGGGGAAAAACATGGGGTGAAATTGCATTAATCGTTTTTATGCCCTAAAAATGTATGAATGGTGCACAAGTTAGCGCAGTGCCACAGCTCGCTCGACAATTTTGTAGTGAAATGTTTTTTTTTCGGTGGGTACATTATAGCAAGATGGTTCCTGGAGGCAAATTTGACAATTTTGACCTCGAGACGAAATCAATTCGCAGAATGAACTGTCCGTGAAACTATTTCACGTCGATGACCTTTTTGTGTAGCGCCCGCCACGCAGGCGCCACACCCAATGGTGCAGTGCCTACCTCGAGGGGGGGTTGCACGCTAGTCCACCGTGGCAGCCCCTGGGCCCGCACCCAGCAGTGCAGCGCCTAGGAGCTAGGCGCCACACGTTTAATGTGCAGCGCCTAGCGCTCGGGCGCTGCACTGTGACTTATCCAGCCGCTTGGCTGGGCCCCCTCCCCCACTCTGTTGGGTTTCGTAGTAATTTTAAAAATTTTCCTACGCGCACACAGGATCATGTGATGCATAGCAACGAGAGGAGAGTGTTGTCTACGTACCCTACGCAGACCGACTGCGGAAGCGATGACACGACGTAGAGGAAGTAGTCGTACGTCTTCACGATCCAACCGATCAAGCACCGAAACTACGGCACCTCCGAGTTCGAGCACACGTTCAGCTCGATGACGATCCCCGGACTCCGATCCAGCAAAGTGTCGGGGAAGAGTTCCGTCAGCACGACGGCGTGGTGACGATCTTGATGAACTACAGCAGCAGGGCTTCGCCTAAACTCCGCTACAGTATTATCGAGGAATATGGTGGCAGGGGGCACCGCACACGGCTAAGGAATTGATCACGTGGATCAACTTGTGTCAACTTGTGTGTTTAGAGGTGCCCCTGCCTCCGTATATAAAGGAGGAGAGGAGGGGAGGCTGGCCGGCCAAAGAGGGAGGCGCAGGAGAGTCCTACTCCCTCTGGGAGTAGGATTCCTCCTCCAATCCTAGTCCAACTAGGATTCCTCGGAGGGGAAGGGAGAGAGGGGGGCCGGCCACCTTCTCCTAGTCCTAATAGGACTAGGGGAGGGGGAAGAGGCGCAGCCACCTTGGGCTGCCCCTTTCTCCTTTCCACTAAGGCCCATGAAGGCCCATATGGCTCCCGGGGGGTTCCGGTAACCTCCCGGTAACCCGGTAAAAATCCCGATTTCACCCGGAACACTTCCGATGTCCAAACATAGGCTTCCAATATATCAATCTTTACGTCTCGACCATTTCGAGACTCCTCGTCCTGTCCGTGATCACATCCGGGACTCCGAACAACCTTCGGTACATCAAAATGCATAAACTCGTAATATAACTGTCATCGTAACCTTAAGCGTGCGGACCCTACGGGTTCGAGAACAATGTAGACATGACCGAGACATGTCTCTGGTCAATAACCAATAGCGGGACCTAGATGCCCATATTGGCTCCTACATATTCTACGAAGATCTTTATCGGTCAGACCGCATAACAACATACGTTGTTCCCTTTGTCATCGGTATGTTACTTGCCCGAGATTCGATCGTCGGTATCCAATACCTAGTTCAATCTCGTTACTGGCAAGTCTCTTTACTCGTTCCGTAATACATCATCTCACAACTAACATATTAGTTGTAATGCTTGCAAGGCTTATGTGATGTGTATTACTGAGAGGGCCCAGAGATACCTCTCCGACAATCGGAGTGACAAATCCTAATCTCGAAATACGCCAACCCAACATCGACCATTGGAGACACCTGTAGTACTCCTTTATAATCACCCAGTTACGTTGTGACGTTTGGTAGTACCCAAAGTGTTCCTCCGGTAAACGGGAGTTGCATAATCTCATAGTCATAGGAACATGTATAAGTCATGAAGAAAGCAATAGCAACATACTAAACGATCGGGTGCTAAGCTAATGGAATGGGTCATGTCAATCAGATCATTCTACTAATGATGTGACCTCGTTAATCAAATAACAACTCTTTGTTTATGGTTAGGAAACATAACCATCTTTGATTAACGAGCTAGTCAAGTAGAGGCATACTAGTGACACTCTGTTGGTCTATGTATTCACACATGTATTATGTTTCCGGTTAATACAATTCTAGCATGAATAATAAACATTTATCATGATATAAGGAAATAAATAATAACTTTATTATTGCCTCTAGGGCATATTTCCTTCAGTCTCCCACTTGCACTAGAGTCAATAATCTAGATTACACAGTAATGATTCTAACACCCATGGAGCCTTGGTGTTGATCATGTTTTGCTCGTGGAAGAGGCTTAGTCAACGGGTCTGCAACATTCAGATCCGTATGTATCTTGCAAATCTCTATGTCTCCCACCTGGACTAGATCCCGGATGGAGTTGAAGCGTCTCTTGATGTGTTTGGTCCTTTTGTGAAATCTGGATTCCTTTGCCAAGGCAATTGCACCAGTATTGTCACAAAAGATTTTCATTGGACCCGATGCACTAGGTATGACACCTAGATCGGATATGAACTCCTTCATCCAGACTCCTTCGTTTGCTGCTTCCGAAGCAGCTATGTATTCCGCTTCACATGTAGATCCCGCTACGACGCTTTGTTTAGAACTGCACCAACTGACAGCTCCACCGTTTAATGTAAACACGTATCCGGTTTGCGATTTAGAATCGTCCGGATCAGTGTCAAAGCTTGCATCAACGTAACCTTTTACGATGAGCTCTTTGTCACTTCCATATACGAGAAACATATCCTTAGTCCTTTTCAGGTATTTCAGGATGTTCTTGACCGCTGTCCAGTGATCCATTCCTGGATTACTTTGGTACCTCCCTGCTAAACTTATAGCAAGGCACACATCAGGTCTGGTACACAGCATTGCATACATGATAGAGCCTATGGCTGATGCATAGGGAACATCTTTCATATTCTCTCTATCTTCTGCAGTGGTCGGGCTTTGAGTCTTACTCAATTTCACACCTTGTAACACAGGCAAGAACCCTTTCTTTGCTTGATCCATTTTGAATTTCTTCAAAAAAATTGTCAAGGTATGTGCTCTGTGAAAGTCCAATTAAGCGTCTTGATCTGTCTCTATAGATCTTAATGCCTAATATGTAAGCAGCTTCACCGAGGTCTTTCATTGAAAAACTTTTATTCAAGTATCCCTTTATGCTATCCAGAAATTCTATATCATTTCCAATCAGTAATATGTCATCCACATATAATATTAGAAATGCTACAGAGCTCCCACTCACTTTCTTGTAAATACAGGCTTCTCCAAAAGTCTGTATAAAACCAAATGCTTTGATCACACTATCAAAACGTTTATTCCAACTCCGAGAGGCTTGCACCAGTCCATAAATGGATCGCTGGAGCTTGCACACTTTGTTAGCTCCCTTTGGATCGACAAAACCTTCTGGTTGCATCATATACAACTCTTCTTCCAGAAATCCATTCCGGAATGCAGTTTTGACATCCATTTGCCAAATTTCATAATCATAAAATGCGGCAATTGCTAACATGATTCGGACGGACTTAAGCATCGCTACGGGTGAGAAGGTCTCATCGTAGTCAATTCCTTGAACTTGCCGAAAACCTTTTGCGACAAGTCAAGCTTTGTAGACAGTAACATTACCATCAGCGTCAGTCTTCTTCTTAAAGATCCATTTATTCTCAATCGCTTGCCGATCATCGGGCAAGTCAACCAAAGTCCATACTTTGTTCTCATACATGGATCCCATCTCAGATTTCATGGCTTCTAGCCACTTTGCGGAATCTGGGCTCATCATTGCTTCTTCATAGTTCATAGGTTCATCATGATCTAGTAGCATGACCTCCAGAACAGGATTACCGTACCACTCTGGTGCGGATCTTACTCTGGTTGATCTACGAAGTTCAGTAGTATCTTGATCTGAAGTTTCATGATCATTATCATTGGCTTCCTCACTAACTGGTGTAGGTGTCACTGAAACAGTTTTCTGTGATGAACTACTTTCCAGTAAGGGAGCAGGTACAGTTACCTCGTCAAGTTCTACTTTCCTCCCACTCACTTCTTTCGAGAGAAACTCCTTCTCTAGAAATGATCCATTCTTAGCAACGAATGTTTTGCCTTCGGATCTGTGATAGAAGGTGTACCCAACAGTTTCCTTTGGGTATCCTATGAAGACACATTTCTCCGATTTGGGTTCGAGCTTATCAGGTTGAAGTTTTTTCACATAAGCATCGCAGCCCCAAACTTTAAGAAACGACAACTTTGGTTTCTTGCCAAACCACAGTTCATAAGGCGTCGTCTCAACGGATTTTGATGGTGCCCTATTTAATGTGAATGCGGCCGTCTCTAAAGCATATCCCCAAAATGATAGCGGTAAATCAGTAAGAGACATCATAGATCGCACCATATCTAGTAAAGTACGATTACGACGTTCGGACACACCATTACGCTGTGGTGTTCCGGGTGGCGTGAGTTGCGAAACTATTCCACAGTTTTTCAAATGTACACCAAACTCGTAACTCAAATATTCTCCTCCACGATCAGATCGTAGAAATTTTATTTTCTTGTTACGA